GTACTCAATATACTTATACATAAGTATGTCATTTCAGTCATTTAAAATGAACAGCTATGGGGTCTTTTCTGCAACAAAACCTCATACATTTTATGGACCATGTTAATCATGAATAACTAGGATATGCCAGAAGGCTTGTAATATAAAATAGAGTGGATTTATGATAGCAGTCAGCTGGTCTGTTACACAGTAAATACATGTCATGGGTAGAGGACATTGAGGCGATTTCATGGATCCAGCCAAATCACTGTTTACATTACAGAATGAGATTTTTGAATGGTTTGTACTGTGTTGTGGTGTGTTTTAAACTTTCAGGTCCCTTCCCCAGGTATGCCAATACCCGTCTCCCTTCCCCCCTCGCCCCCTTGCTGAGTGAGTCCTGTCAATCAGGCTTAACATTCCAACAAGGCGTCGTGCAGTTGGGCAAGTTCAAAGGATGCCCCTCAGGCCCAGAGGTCATTGGCCTGTCTAGGTGTTCCTCGTCCCTTGAGACCCCGCCCCCCCCACCTGGTTAGTGGCTCACCTGTCCCCTCCCCTCCCCCTGAGCTTAAAAGGTGAAGCAGGCCATGTGGTCAGAATTCTGTTGGAGCTCTTCCCAAGATTCAGACCTCTGTAACCATGGAATAAACCACTGGATATAACCCTCCAGCAGAATCCTCTCCTTTTTTCTCTTCACCTTCGCCTGAAGCCTTCTTCCTGAGGTAAACGGAGTTCCTAACGAGCCTGGACTTGTTTAGTGCCCAGCTGCAACCACCACCAAGCTAAAGGTGTCTCTGGGGTGATACACCACAGATGACGCCTTTGGCCTAGCAGCAAGGGTCAGACTGGCCCAGGCACAATCTAACTGGTAATATTGATATTCACATTCCAATAGTACTGTGAAAGACATACTAAAACTAAGGAACTGTTGATTCCAGATAACAACCAGGCTATTTTCCAAAAGAAAAGGAAATCAGAATATCACAGATACTGAGGGGCAGAGTGCTTGTTAAAAATGGTGATTGATCGGGATTTTTGCACAGGTTACCAGTGTTCTCAAACAGTGATCAGTTGATGGCTGGACGGTGGCAGAAGTCTGTGTTGCAATGGCCAACATCATCTTTAGCTGATGTTGGCCATTGCAACATCATAGTAATGTTCCTGCTCTTTATGGATGTCCCATATGCCCGTGAACTCTCACAAGACAGTGGACATTGTCTGATGGGAGATCTATGAAGTTGCATCTTGAAACCAGGAAGGATACCCATAGATCCTGTGTCAGTAATAGCAGGTCTATGCACAAATCTCAAATATTCTAGGGCATCAAAAATTGCTCTAAATATATATGTTTTGGCATTTTAATTACTTTCCTACATTTATGCATCTGAATTTAATTCCATATAATCTGATACTGAGAAATACCATGAGGTATTCATCTACTGTTGTCCTCTGGAGTTTTCATTTAATCTCGACTTCTTTTTTTTAACTGTGAGGGATGCCAGGATGAAATTAACCCAGTCTTAAAATGCTGGCTTTCTTTTGCATTTTAGCACTAAAGATGACCACATGTTTTGACAAACAGAGCATTTAATCTCAGAGGTTGTAATTACACAGGCAAATGCCGCGTTATTTACAGCAGCATACATATCTCTGGCAGATTGTGGGAATCATAAATATTTCCAGACTGCCCTGAAGGAAATAATGTTCCAACACTGTAGCAGGAGTGTAGCTCAGTGTAAAACCTCATAGAAAAGAAAGATGAACATATTTTAAACCTCAACCAATTTCAGTCTCCCACAGTCTCATACCCACAAGCCCCAAGACACACATGAAAAATTGTGAGTGTTCAAGCACTAAGATGTGTCACGATTGAGGTAGTTTGCACAGAGTTCTTTGCCGGGATTATTAAGTGTGTGGATTGTGAAGCCCTTCCCCACACTTCTTGGTTCCTCCTGAGGGCATGATGGTTTTAAATATCTCCTTCTACTCTTTAGGAGCTGACAGTGATTGATTTCTGTCCTGTCATAATTCTTTGAGTCATCAGGATTTAATGCCTGTCTCTGTTTTAGAACTGGTTGTCTCAAGCAGTTCTAGGTAGCAGTGTGATAAGATCCTGTTGACCTGGTCCCATAAACGTTAGCAACATAGGATGTTTTTATAACCTTTATCTCACTCAAATTTTGCTCCTGTGTGTTCATATGCACTGTCTATCAGATTCTCTCATGCCTGAGTCTATTTTCCCTTGGTTAGCACCTTCAGTGTCATTGAGAACTTCAGCTATTGCAAATATTCACCTCTTTACCTCTCCAGGCCACAGCACCTCCTCCTTTGTTTATCTTTTCCTCCACTGGGGGAAAGTGAGCAAGTGGCTGTGTCAGATCTTGCCATCCTCTTTGTTGGATGGATTCACTTTCTTTGTCAGCTATCCTGTCAGTATCTTGTGCAGAGAAGATAATTTGGTGTTTAGATTTTTAGTCTGATTTTGATTTTGCTTGATATGGATTTTTTTGGCATAAATAAACTCAAGGAAAAAAAAATTGCCTGTGTCTACCCTCCTGTACGTAAACAAGTGTGAAGATAAGTCTTTGGTGGACAAGTGTTCCAAATAACATTGTGATATAGGAAGATAATATATCAAAACTGTGAACCCACCTAAAATGCCTCTCCTTCAGAAAGAATGCATACCATGCTTGGCTGATTGCTTACCTTAAATCTCCTGTCAGAGAATAAATGGGAATAGATCTTTTCTGTAACACAGAACAAATGTTGCCTCTAGGTACAATACTATGACATTTTATGAAGACTAATTTTTTTTTTCCAAGATGTCAGATTCTCAGTGATTTATTTTCTGAAATTTTTATTCCCATGTTCCTTTTCATCTGTTGGATTGATTAATATGCATTGATACCCCCAGTACTGTTTCATTTACTTAAAATAGAGAAACCTGGGTTTACTAATGGTAATAATGAAAAAAACCTTAAAAAAGTTAGTATTAAACTACTAATGATGTTCAAAATCATTTACACATGTCTTAAAATTGAGAATATTGGATTTTAACTAATCACTGTAAGCTCAACTACAGTTTAAAAACAAGGGCTTCAGAAATATAATTTTCAAGGATTATGAAGTCTATTGAGAAATAGCTATGGTACTGTTACAAAAATTTTTTCCATAACTGGGGCTCTAGAAAGCTAAAACAACTGTGAAAGAATCATAAAATCAAAAGCAACAGAGCAAGCCATTTTCCTTGATGTAAGTTTTAGGCAATGTGACTTAGTTCACTCCTTTTTTATGGAGATGCTAAAAACTCTTGACATGCTTGCAAAAATGGAAATAGTAAGTGGTAAAGCAGTGTTATGCAGGACTCAAGGCAGTATCTGTGCTTCTACACCAATATCTGAAATAAACTTCCACCAAAAAAAAAAAAAATTAAATTTACCTGGAATCATCATAGAACTCATTTTGGAGGTATTTAGGCCAGGCATTTCCCTAGTTTCTTTCAAGGAATATGCTTTGAGATATTGCAGGTAAATGACCAGAAAGCAATATGGTGGCAATGAAAAGTAAAAGTATTTATAAGTTTTTTGGTTTAAAACCAGGAAGAATTATCTGTTAGAAAGCTGGCCTCAAACAGGCAACTTCCTATATTCATGAGTTTCAGCAAAGCTAGCAGCTCCCAATAAACTCTGCTTTCTTGGTGTGACTGATCAATAAATCAATACAGTGGAAGAAATATAGACAAGGACAATATGCTCTTTAATCTCATGGGAAATTGTGGGGAAGGGATGACCACAGCTGTTGGAAATAAAGCTGAAATTGTGTCAGCACAAAGGGAATTAGGGGTGGCTTTTATTTTAGCTAAGTGGCTACAGCATCTGACTGGATCAACCAGTTATGTTAGCTGGCCTAATGAAGCAGTTATAGAAGCTCAGTGAATCAACCAGCTGTTACTGTTTGTCCTTGATTTAACCAAAAGATGATAAATGTCTTCCTGAGTTAGTTAGACCATTATGAGGGGGAGGTTATTGTATAAATTATCAATGTGCAGTATAGACCATAAGCAACCAAAAATACTCCATTAATGCCCACAACACATCAATAACAATAACAATAAAAATAGCATAGAATAGGTAATTTTTCCAACATGAATGAAATTCTAGAGGAAAACATATTTCTTTAGACAAAGTTAGTTATTAAAAAAATGTGACAAAATTTTCTGTATTGTGTAACAAATACTGCATTTGATGGAAGGAAAATCCTTTAAGTTGCTAAGTTAGGATCATAGAACAGACTATTTCAGTCTGGAGGAACATAAAGCCATTTATGTAGTCCAACTGCCTGACCTTTTCAGGCCAACCAAAACTCAAAGCAAGTTGTTAAGAGCGCCTTAAATATCGACTGGTTTGGGGCATTGACCACCTCTCTAAGAAGCCTGTTCCAGTGTCTGGCCACACTCTCTGTAAAGAAGTGCATCTGTTGTGCCAGTAGTGTTTGATATGAACTTGAGGAGCTGTTGACAGCTAATAAAGTGATCGTGCTTTATGTGACAGGAAGAAATGTTCCTTTTTTGTCCTTGTCAGCTGTGCTAGGTTACTGACAAAAATAATAATGTTTCTGTAATGATAGAGAGGAAGTGACAGAACAGCTGTTGAGTTTAAAAACATAGGCTTCTTTGCAACATATGGATAAAAATGTATTTTATATCATCATACATGTACCTAAAAATCTTCAGAGGACAGTAATTTTTTTACTGGAGCCAATTTAAGTTACTCAGTAAAATAAATGTATATTGACTTTATGTGTATATTGAGTCAATGTGTATATTGACTTTATTTTAGGAATTAAAATTTGTGTATCTGGAAAATTAGAAGATAGAAATGTTCTATCTTCTCTAAACATTTTCATCAATATGTCATCGTGATAAGTACCAATATGTATTAATTATGATTTGTTCATTTGATTGTTATTTAAGGGTGAAAGAAGATGTTCAAGATATATATGACAAGTTTTACTAAAAGAATACTCACTGGATCCTGACACAAGATACTCCTCACTCAGAATTTCTAAAGGTGCTTCTGACCAGAGTGGCTCACAAGGATCACTTCCCTGAAACAGGTTTTTGGCAATTGATCTATGTGCGGCAGATCTGTTTCAGCCTGTCACATGACCACAACATTGACTATTTCTCTAATGATACCCTTTGTTTCAGAGCTGGGCTGACTCATTTCAAACAGGTGTGATGTGAAGAAAAACATTCATGTTTTGATTTGGCTTTGGTTCAGGGAAGTACTGCCTAGATAAATTGTCAAAATGTAACCAGACCAGCAACTCTGAGTGGTTTTTGTCTTGAAGAGTCATTGGACAGCATGCTTTCTTCCTGAAATAGTACTTCATTCCTAAATGGTAAGTTAAGTTAGGAAGTAGAAATTTTCCATTTATCTTAAAGAAGTTGTAGTCCTGCATAGACAAAATAATTCAGAATAATTGATTTATGGAGAAGAAACAAGGTTGACATTCTAACCGGTTGAGTTGATGTTCCTTAAAGGACAGAGCTGGGGGTTCTTTTCTCTAAAATCTTAATAATTATAAATTAAAGAGGACCCATTTGCACTAGTGTAGGTAGAGTAAATATCTCAGTATGGAATAAAGGAAAAAAGTTCCTGTCAGGAAGTTCCCCTAGTTCAGATGTAGACAATGGCATGCAAGGTAACTAAAATAACAGGATGCAGAGACAAATCAAGAACACTACATGACAAAAAATTCTCTTTAGATAATTCTGAAGAAGAGAAAGAATGAAGTAGAAAGCATAGAGTAGAAATTGAAGAGGGGAACAATCTGTTCTAATTTCCTCCAAGGCTATAAAAATTATTTTCTATGTAAACACAGGTATAAGGTAAATTATTATTTCTTCAAAGTGGTTAACAGCATTGAAATTTACCTCCAGACAGACCTTATTAAGCAACTGGGAAACAAAATTAAATAGCCCTTTATATAACTAATTTGTTATCAGAAGTATTCCGTCTTTGTTTCCTTCTTTAAATTATGTGTCAAAGAAAAATATCGCCTCGAACAAAGCTGTTACTCGCATTAATATCTGCTAAATACTTCCATTTCATGTGTAGCAGGGACCTATAGAATTTGCTTATGAATAGGCTGTTGCCTTTTAAAATCATGTAAGTGAGGTCACTCCAGATAAACTTACTACTATAAAGTGTGCATATCTAATATCTAATAATTCATTCCATAGTCTCAGAATGCTTTGTAGTCTCATACATTATTTACTGATTAAGTCATTCAGTTCTATTACTGTGAGAGGACATGGATCATGGGAATTATGCACTATACATTAATAATGAAAACAATTAAGTTTCATTTTGCTTGAATGAATCTCACATTATTGAATCCAGTATTTGTTTTTTCATATAAGCTGAAGTTGAATTGATCTGAAGTATCAGCTTTTTAAACCACAGTCACTGAAAAAATGCAGATTTTTCATTTGAATACTTGCCATATAAATACTGATGACTAACAAAACAAACTGTACTTTTTTATTCAGCTTTCATCTGAATTTTGATATGTGTAGGAGCAAACCCAGAAAATGTATTTTAAAGAGGAATACAATTTTTAAAATAGACAATGGCCACTCACGGTGTTTATTCATGCCCAGAGCTTTTTTTTCCAAGACTGTAATGTCAGAAGGTTGTGATGTGAAAATATTTCCCTTTTATTAAAGCTACTGAATTAATTATATTAATAAAAAAATGAGGCAGGAAATCCTGTAATCTTTTGACTGAACTTGAAGTACGGAAAATTATTAATTAATCCACTGCAAAATGTGACACGGGAGTTAGAGTCAAAGAAACAGACACAGCAATTCTAAGAAGTGTTGTAGAATAAAATACCCATACAATACTCAGAGACCTCACAGTCACCTTTTTCCTCCAGACTTCAGTTCCACTTCACTGAAGTGTATTTCAATTTTGATTCCAATTCATTTTAACTTCTTGTTCCTGATATTATGTTCTTCCAACCCCATGAAGTGCTCGACATCTTTCTCAGGAGGCAATTATTTATAATTATTTTTGCTATGGGTTGTGATAGTTTCTTCTGATAACACTTTTTACTGAAATAGCAGATCAGATCTTGTTTCTGCGTGATTCAGCATCACTAAAGAGTACCAAATCTCTGACAAAGTGAGGAGACTCATGTAAGAGTGATATATCCCAGCTATAGTTTTCCAGAAGTCTAGTGGGTTCCTTTTATTTTTTCACATAAGGAGATTCTCTGTATGGCATGATAAATATTGGTTTGACTAAATTTGCAGCTCTGGATATTGATATAGGAAGAAAAGGAAAGAAGAAATAATTCATCATGCAATCTTTTTATTTAAGCAAAGCGAAGCCTAAATTCAATTAAAAAAAAAAAAAAAAAAACACATTACTTCAGTTCTATTCATGCTCAAAAAAAATTCTACCTTTTTTGTAGCACTGTTCCTAACTCCAGCATTTTACAGTCACCAAGTGCCTCCTGGCAGAAGTGCAGATCAATATAAATTGCTGGTCTTTAAAAGCTATGTCTCCAATTTAGCCCTGTAGTCTGGCACAGACTTAATAAACTGTTTTCTTCAGTTTTGCCTTTATAGCACAATCTCTGGCATTAATTACAGCCAGATATATCTGACATGTAGCAGTTGTCAATAAATCCGCAGACTTTTGGACACCCCTTCACGTACCTTAGATTCTAGGTCATGTGAATATTATACATAAAAATTAAATATGGAGTTCATCTTTTATGAGGATGTAACAATTAGAGAAACAGGAATTCAAACCTTAATTTTAGGTATAGACAGGTCTCTAATATGTAGAATGCAGAATGAAATACCATCTTAAGTTTTTGGCAACAAGTCCTGCTTTAGGTCTGTAAGAATACTGGTGTGTCTCCAAGAAAAAGCTATGCAAATTACATAATATATTTAAAAGGTCTATTACTAATTTTAATTATGCACAAGCAAAAAATAAATTTTTAGAACATCAATATTGACTTTTCTTATTTTTAGGTGTCATTTTAATCCAGAAAGCACCTAAATTTGTGAAAAAATCCAGATATGTGAAATCTTTTTCCAGTATTAAATTATGATTCAAAAATGAGCGTGAGTTTCCTTTCCAACTTAGGGGTTTTTAACAACACAACAATTCCAGACATCCTTGTTTTCTCCTTAGTACCTCAGCTTATTCCAAATCATAATCTTGTTTCTCTCTGTGGTGAAAAATTCTCCCATTAGACTTTTCAGTGTAATTCATTGCAGTTCTCTCTTGAATATCTGCCTTGGTAGCACAGCTAAGCTTTTGGTCTTTGCTATGACCTTGAAGTGTGACTCTTCTTGTTTACCATGATTTTCCATACTGAAGGCCCATGGATACCAGACATGGCTGCATAGACTTGTTTAAATCCATCATCATTAGTTCTTGTGGTTGCTTTATTTAAAAAGAGAGATACTGGAAATGTGAAGACTGTTAATTATTCCATCTACTACTTGCAAAGAAACTGTGTAAAGAAGAAAGATCTGGGTCATACCAGTTACCCCATTTTGGCCCCAGGATAAACATATTCTGCTGCCTTCAGCTATCACTGAGGGTTTCCACTTACTCTTTTCTCCTGAAATTATCACAGGAACACAGAATGAACTAGGATGGAAAAGACTTTTAAGATCATCTAGTCCAAACCGTGACCTAACACCTCATCAACTAAACCATAGAACTGAGTGCCATGTCAGTCTTTTTATAAACACATCCAGGGACAGGGACTCCACCACCTCCCTGGGCAGGTGATTCCGGCAAGCAATGACTATTTCAGTGAACAATTTTTGTCTAACATCTAAAATATCTACCTTTTCAAAGACTGAAACATATTCCCGTAACTCAAATTACTTGATCCATGGCATTTTTGGTCTTTTGTGATTACCTTTAGATGTCTCAGCCTTTCTGCACTGCCTTTGTCTCCAGTTTAAGTTTCTGTTTTGCCATAATTTAGAGCCACTCACCACAAATTTTCTTGGTCTTTTGTCAAAGAACTTAATCAGGCTACAGCTGCCAATGCACTTCAAGGGATCTGCTGATTCTACTCTTCAGCTACATCCCTTGAAAACCTACAGATCAGTCAATCCTTGTCTTTGGCCACATTTTTTTCTTGCTGATGCTGAAAGTAGTACCAGCCATGCCACTTGTCTTGCACCTAATTTCTCAAATTTATCATCTTCAAGAGCACCAACATAGGCTGTAACCAAGAGTGTCAGGGCAAGCTGAAACATCTTGGGAGCAACAGCCTTGTGTGGAGCCTCAGAGTGTTGGGAAATTTCACAGGAGACAAAATTCACCTAGGTTTCTTTTCAAAAGTTCTAACCACAGTTTTAGCCCTATGGTTAGGCATGAGTTTTGAGAGGAAGCTAAAGCGCTGACCTTAATGGACCTGTTTGGTTTCCTGTCTTTAGCGTGGGTCCCAGTGTTTTCAGTTTTCCTTAATCCATACATCATTTCAAGCATCAAACATAGTGAGATATATTCTGGTATATTTCCCTCTAGAAAATATAATCGTAGCACAAATCTTGACCATAAACTCATTTTTTGTTCCTTATTTTGTTCCCTTTGTTTCACAAAAAAAAAACAAACAAAACCAAACCACAACCTCAGTATATTTTGTATCATTTCTGTAATGCTTGAAATTGTAAAAATGGGGAATGTTTTCTTGTTGTTTTAAGGTATTTGGTTGTTAACCATTATTAAATGGTTAAGATTGATCTCATTGATTCTCTTTATTCTTTGATTATATTAATTCTCCATTGAGTTTGACTCTTAGAGAGAACAAATCTAGTTTCTCCCACACTGCAGCATGTGAAAATAGAAATACTTTCATCTACTGCAGTGACACCTATTTTTCAAATATTCAAAACATAACAGTTTACTATTATGTAAACTGTCATGTAAAACACTTGTTATGTAACCAAAGTGTTTTTCATGAACTTGGTTATTGCTGTTCAGAAATCTGATCAAAGCAGAAATATGGATAATACTAAACAGATTGTTTTAGTATAGCTTTGATTTTATGACCGTCTCTTTTAGGTAGTAAAACCCATGAATTCAGTTTTTCACCATTAATACACAAGATCTACTTTTTGTTATTGATGCATAAGTAAGGGATATAATGATATGTGATAGATCCAGAGAAAAATCTTCTTTTCCTCTAAAATATTATTGGTATATAATCTAAAAAATAAATTTATACTTAACTGATGATCAAATGCTTTTTTAAACTTAGTTTCATATGCATGCCTTCACATACAATAGCAGGATATTTGTGGTTTTTTAGTTTGATTTTATCTTGTCAATTGGATTTTAGCCCATTGTGTA